CCTTTTGATCTCATGTGGCTGATTGTTCTAAGGAGAGCATACCCCTCTAGCCTTATAGGCCTGTCTATTGCTTGGCTGTGACATTATTGATGACTTAATTCATGTTATTTGATTGACTGGTTAAGAGTGCCTTACACAGCATCTTAACACCTACAGTTCTGTCCTACAGAATTTAATAGCTCTTATTTAAATCCTCACAGTTGTGGACAATCTTTATTGACTACTATAACACATTAGATAGCAAAAAGGATGTCTCAGGTTAATTTGACATTGACTAGAAAGGGAGAAATTCCTTTATTTGTGGATTAATTTTCTTGACTACCCACCAGCTGCCCTGTGGAAGATGGATGAGGCAGTCTTCTTCCGTAAAGATTACAGCCTTGGAAACCCAATGGGGGTCGCTATGAGTTGGAATCGACACGATGGCAGTGAGTTTGGTTTAGTTTTAGGTAGTAATGTAATCATGGATGCTCTGAAAATACCTAGGAGTTATGTCAGGTCATTTGATAAATTAAGTTAACAATTTAGGTGAACACTGCATATTCCTTTTCTCACAGCTATGTAACAAGCAGTACCTGCTTTTTTAATGAAATAGATAATGTCCCCCTTGTCTTATAACTTCCTTGATTATAGTTTTATTGCTTCTGCCGCTATCTTCTTTTATGGTTCAGGTAAAAGGTTTTCTTTTAGATAAGAGAAAAAGAGAATGTTAAATAATAAAGGATCTGGAACCCTATTATTTGGATCTGTGTTTCTCCAAGTTGGACATGGGAGATCAGAGAAACAGGCACTGCAGGGAAGGGAGGGTGTCACTTGCTTTTTTGGTGGCACTAGTGGCATCTTCACCAGTCCTGCGCCCTCCTGCCTGTTGTCATTATCTTGTCACACTTGTGGAGCTCTGCAAAGCTGTTCAGTAAGGCTGTCCTCTCATTCCCTACTGGAGACTCTCAGGAGCCCTGTTGGAGCAGTGGTTAAGTGCTTAGCTACTAACCAAAAGGCTGGCAGTTCGGACCACAGGCAGAAAGATCTGGCCATGTGCTTCCATAACAATTATAGCCTAGAAGCCCTATGGGGCTGTTCTGTTCTGTCACGTAGGTTTGCTATGAGTTAAAAATCAAGTCAGCGGCACCTGACAACAACGATAGCATTAGAGTATCTGTGCCAGCTTTGGAGTTAGGCAGCCTTGTGCTGTTACAATCCCACCTTCAGCACTTGTTGGGCATGAAACCTCAGGCAAGTTCCTGAGCTTCGTTTTCTCATTTGTTTTCTAAAAAATAATACTAACTTACAGCATTATTATGCAGTTCAAATAAAAGAACATGGTATAAATACTGTACAACATGCCCGAAGCATAGTAAGCACTCTACTATTGTAGTTTCTCCCCATGTCAACCCCTTCTCAACACAGGCCTCTCCGGAGAGCAGGAGGAGGAGGGTCTGATTTAGAGCAGCAAGTCAAGGTCATAGAGACTTAAGTACTCAGTTTGTAAGATGGAGACTGAAGCAGAGAGTCCAAGCATTCACACAGTTCAAGCCTATGCTTTTGATTAATTAATTCCAAAACTTGACAGGCAAAGAAACAACTAAGTAAACTCATCTTTTTTAAGGCTTTTTATTTCAGCCAGTGCCTTGAGAAGGCTCTTGCTATTTCAGAGAAGAGTAATCATGACACCAAACAGTCATTAGCTTGCCCAGTTATCTCAGGGTAGCAGTGGTTCTGACACAAAGAAAGACAGAGAGAGTTGTCAATTCTGAGCAACTAATTTGACTTATGTCAGCCAAGAACGGGGTTTTCATTTTATTGAATAGATCTTTTCCTTCACTAATTGGCTCTCCATCTTGTGAATGTGGTTGGGCAAAGACGGTCACTCCCCTCAGACGTGGGCCCTGCTTCTGCAACTCTTCCAGAGGCTTTCCTGAACGATCAGCCTCCCCCAGCTTCCGGCTGGAGCCAACAAGTCCTCAACAGCCTCTTGGTTGAAGCTCTCCCTGAAAACTTTGTCTGAGCTTGTTCTCGGAGACATTCCAGGTCCCCTCCTAGGAAAGCATTTTCTAGTTCCAGCATGCAAGGTACTTAGTATGTGATTCCTAATCTCTCACAAGTCTTCCTTTTTGAAATAATGAAAGAGAGAATGTAAATGTATGACATAGGCATTAAATTTGGTACAAAGACATGGGTTTTCTTTTCTATTTGTATACACAGCATTTATCCCTCCAAATTTTTTTTTTTTTTCCCATTCGGTAAGCAAAGCATTTTATGCAGATTTATTTATTAGTTAGCTATGTAAATCAAAGGAAGTATACCTATTTATTAACTTTGTGTGTTTGTGTGTGATTTGGGTGAAAGTTTACAGAACTAATTCATTTTCCATTCAATAGTTCATGCATTTTCTTTCCTTTGTTCTTTTTCCTAGGCATTCCTGCCCTCTGAGGTATCTCCCCATGCAAATGCTGCCCTTCTGATCTCCCACATTTGATCTAATGACTACACCTATTTGGTGTAATTACTCACCTTGTAGGTCCATTATTTGGCTAGAACATAAGCCATGGGGGGGGGGGGAAGCTCACTGCCATCAAGTTGGATCAGACTCATAGCAACCCCTCCTTAGGTTTCTGAGGCAGTGTCTCTACGGAAGTAGATTGCCCAATCTTCCTTTTGAGGAGTGGCTGGTAGGTTTGAACCACCAGACTTCTGGTTAGCAGTCAAATGTCTTAGGCGCTACGCCACCAGAGCTCCATGGAAGTGAGTTCAATTCCAGGCCCAAAGGGTAACTAGGGACCATAGTCTTGGGGGTTTTACCAATCTCTGTCAGACTAGTAAGCCTTGTCTTTTTTTTTTTTTTTTTGTCATTTTGAGTTTTGTTCCAAATTGTTCTTCTACTTGATCCAGGATCTCCAATTTTGATCCCTTTCCAAGTGGTTGGCACTGGTAGCCAGGCACCCTAGTTCTTCTGGTCTCAGAGTCATGTAGGCTGAAGTTCCCATGGCCCATTAGTGCCCTAGACTAATTATTTCCCTGTGTCTTTGATTTTCTTCATTCTTCTTTGCTCTTGATGAAGAGAGACAATTGTTCCATCTCAGTTAGCTTTTTAGACCCCAGTCCCTACTCACCAAAGTAGGATGTGGAACAATGTTTTTGTAAAGTATGTGATGCCAGTTGAGTCTATGTCCCACATAACCATGGTTCTGAGCCTGTAGGCCCAGCGACTCACTCCCTCAAGGTGCTTGGCTGTGGCTAAGAAGTTATTGTAACTTTGCCCCCTGTTAGCTCTGTTATACATATGTACATTCTTAGAACACATATGTAGAAATATTGTCTCCCAAACTTACCTACTCCCTTTTGCCTGTCTGTACCTGATCATTTTGCCTATCTACCTATGTATCCACCCATAGATTAATGTTTGTTATTATTGATACTGTAGTATTGTGTATGTAAAAATATTTACCTTTGTTCTCTGTGTCTTCCTTTTCCTTAATGTTATTGTGCTGGTCACTTGTGTTTGGTATATTGCCTTCACCCAAATCAATACATATCTCTTACCTAGCTAGCAAATTTCCCTCCTCTTCCCTCCCATCCCTGATAACCAACAAAGAAAGTTTCCTTCCATGTGTAAACGTTTCCTCGACTTTTTACAATAGTGCACTCATACAATATCTGTCCTTTGGTAATTGACTTATTTCACTCAGCATAATGTCCACCAAGTTCATCCACATTATGAGGTGTTTCCTGGATTCTTCATTATTCTTTAGTATTGCATAGAATTCTATTGTGTTTATGTACCATTGGTTCTTTCTGCATTACTTGGTTGATGAACACTTAGGTTGTTCCCATCTCTTTGCTATTATGAATAGTACTGAGATGAACATGGGTGTGCATATAGCTATTTGTGCCTCCTCCAACATTTTTAGTATTAAATTTATCATATGGCAAAATTGAAAGAATTTTACAGTAACACCCATATAGCCACTGCCTAGATCCAACCATTAACATATTGCTGTATATGTATCACCCACTTTTTGAAAGGTCACTTTAGGGCACTTTACTTTTACAAAAGACTTATTTAGTACCTGTTTTTGCTAACTGAAAGAACTCTGAAGAGGATTTTTGCGTTTTACCAAAAAAAGCATAATTAACATTCAGCATTTGTTTTGCTTCGACCTATAGGGTCAGGTTGGGAGCTCTGGTAGCATAGTGGCTAAGACACTTGCCTGCTAACCAGACGGCTGGTGGTTCAAACCCACCAGCCACTCCTCGGAAGGAAGGTTGGGCAATCCTACTTCCGTAGTGATACTGCCTCGGAAACCCAAGGAGGGGTCGCTATGAGTCGGGTTTGACTCGACGGCACATAACAACAACAACAACATAGGGTCAGGTTGGGCAATCTACTTCCGTAGTGATACCGCATCGGAAACCCAAGGAGCAGTCACTATGAGTAGGATCGACTTGACGGCAATGAGTTTGGTTTTTTTTGTATAAGGTCACTATGCGAGCCATTAAAGAGGCAGTGCACACCTGAACAGTGAGAGTGGCGTCACCAAGCTCCTTCCCCAGGAACTACATTGTACATCATTATTTCTACTTTGTATAGGCTGGGTATTTATCATCTCCCTCATTAAGTTAACAAAGATAACCCATTCCCAAATGAGATTGAGTCTAACCACAGGCTTCATTCATTCACTCACTGCCGTCGAGTGGGATCCGACTCATAACAACCCCTCCTTGGGTTTCTGAGATTAGGATTTATAACACGTATTTTGAGGGGACATAATTCAATCCATAACAAACACTTAAATGGATAAATTATGTTTCAGGTCTGTACTATCGGGGTTATTTAGATATACAAAGGGATCTAATTTCATGCCCTTTTATTGAATAAGGAAGAAAAGAAAAAAACACTCTAATAATACTTCATTTAGAATACTTCATATGTTATAAAACATTGAGACTTAAAAAAATTTGTTTCATTTTCTCCAATTCTATAATTTTGCTTTTAATTCCAGGATTGTAAATGGAAAATGTATATGGAGATGGATGGGGATGAAATTGCAATAACCTACATAAAAGATGTGACATTCAACACTAACCTACCTGATGCAGAGATTTTAAAGATGACAAAGGTAGGGTTCTATTTACAGCTTAAAAGCTTTTTTGAATTCATAGATATCAAACAAAGACATTAAAATACCCCAGCAGTGTGCTTTTGTGCTTGTCCATGCTCACATCAGCTCAGCCTCAAGCTGGCTGTTGAAAGGCACATTTTATTTAGCAGATTGAGATCACAATAGTTTTTTGTTAAAATTCCACTTATGTTGTATGAACTACAAAGCACTGTAAAAAAAAAAAAAAAGTATCGTTTATTTTATTTTCTTCTACATTTCCTTATGCCTATTCTATCATTTATTAGAGGAAAAAAAATGCTAATGGTTAAAATATTTACCTCAACCTTTGGGTCATTTTAAACTTTGGAAAACTAAGGAGGAAAGTTTTCTTGCTTGTGTCTAATTTCTTGAAGGACTGAAATGAGGTTACTTATGAGGCCCATGTTGCAATCTTGACGGCTTCCTTGAGTCCATGTTATGGAGTGGGTAGATGGGATCGTGTTACTATCTTAAAGTAGTAGAAGTGTGTCAGAATACTGGAGAAAGGCTTACAGGAATTCTGGCTTGTTCTTCATAATGGAAAATTTTCGGTTTTGCTCCAATCACACTGAAATAAGTGCCCATGAGAGTTTGCCAAAGGTCAGCAACCTCAGGTATATAACTATAATGTTAATGGGACGTTCACACTAAACGTCACATAAACCATTAACTCTAGTACACTATTAACTGTGTATTTGGTTTCATTGAAGGAAATGAGTTTTGTGCCAAAGAAGAACCAAGGCACAAACATAAGTAGGGAGATGACAAGATTCTTCAAAGCCATAGTATTAGACTTGTAAACATATTCTCTCACAGGCATAAGATTGTTAAACACCCAAGTCCTTTACATTTATCAGTGGGTTCATCAAATAGACTGATTTTATATTCTTTGTTAGAGTCCCCTCTGTAACTGTAAGTTATTCCAGTTATGATTTGGTTTTAACCCCTTATTTCCTTGGGACAAATTATTTTGATGCGCTGAATCCTGGAGAGAGATTTTCTTTCCTCCTTACCTGTGACATCTCTGATTACAGCAGTTGGTCTTGGCTGCAAGACCCAAGTCATTACCTATTGAAAGAAGATGTTGCTCATGACAAAAACAATATGGTGGAGGTTATAAGACTGAGCACTGGTATTTTTCGTGTAACACCATATTTGCATTCCTGAGGAACCACATCTGCTACAAAATCACACACCAAAATTGACAGAGCTTATGGGAGAGAGAAGTTTAAGGCAGACCACTCAGAATCTGTAGAATTTTTAAACTAGAACACCAACAGAAACAATAACAATCCTAATTTTTAAAGATAAATAAGGAACCCAGTTAAATCTCTCCTGCATTTGCTTTGTACCTAGCATCACAGCCAGTCATTCCTTTGTAGCCTTAAAGCCAGAGGAGAGCATCAGGAGGAGAGAGTGGAAGTGCACTTCTAATAGAGACTATTTGCATCAAAATTAAAAATACGATCCAAGGTATAAGCATCTTCAAGGTATAAGCATCTTCAAGGTATAAGCATCTTCAAGGTATAAGCATCTTCAAGGTATAAGCATCTTCGTTAATCCTGGGAAAATGTCTCCACAGCTTCTTCAGTTGCATTCACAGCTTCACTGGATAATGGAAAGCAGAATGACTATGGAAGCCACTAAATTAACTTCTCCATGCACTCAAGGAAGGCACTTCTAGGTCTTATATTGTTAAGGCTTTTTCTTAATTGTGAGAAAGCTTTGTGCTGATGCTTCAAAACAGTGGCACGTTGAGAGGAATCAGATATGAACCAACATGATTTTTGTGATAATCTGACATTATTCCCCTACTTCCCAATAAGCACTTGACTGCTAACCAGAAGGCTGGCGGTTCAAACCCACCAGCCACTCCTCGGAGGGAAGGTTGGGCAATCCTACTTCCGTAGTGATACTGCCTCGGAAACCCAAGGAGGGGTCGCTATGAGTCGGGGCCGACTCGACGGCAAACAACAACAACAACAACATCCCAATCCTGTATGGGGCACATGGCCTCAAAGAAAAGTACAGTGTAAAAGATGAGACCATGCTATGGCACTACACCATGCTCACTTTTGTTTTTCAGCCCCCATTTGTGATGGAGAAGTGGATTACAGGAATAGCAGACAATCAGGCTGTAGAGTGCACTGTCACATATGAGGTAAGTTCTAGGGAAAGGCAGCTGGTGGCTTCACTATTGGTTTCTTTATAGCTATTTATTTGCTACTTCAGAGAGTTAAGAACTTATTAGGAGTGAGGTTATTTAATCGACATAAATATGAGAAAATAAATATAACTATTCTAAGAAAATGTTCAGAAGGAAAGAAAGGATAATAATATTACCTAGATAGAGATTCATTCATCAGTTCATCAGTTCCAAACCACATAGTGTGGTACATAGTGGGGGTACCAAACAGACCAAAAGAGACCTTTGACTTCTTGGTGCTTAGAGCTTAGGAGTGAGAATAGATCCCTGATTCTCCTACAGGACAAAGCACAACCTCCACTACTGCCTGGGATTATTATTAAAAAAAAGACTCCAGTGTTATAATATTTTTCATATGGAAAAATAGAAATTCTATAGTTTTTAAAATATATATATATATATACTTTAAAATTAAAAGTCATTCATTTAGCAAATACCTACTGCTAGATACTGTTCAAGGTACAGATGATAAAACTGTTATTAGTATAGACAAAGTCTACACTGTCTTGAAGGACCCCTGGTGGCGCAGTGGTTAAGTATGCATCTGCTAACTAAAAGGTTGGTGGTTTGATCCTACCCACCAGCTCTGCAAGAGAAAAATGTGGCAGTCAGCTTCCATAGAGATTATGAGTTTGGAAACCCTATGAGACACTTCTACTCTGTTTGATAGGGTCGTTATGGATTGGAATCGACTTGATGGCAAAGGTTTTTGCTTGTTTGTTTGCTTTATACTCACTTGATGCTAATATTCCAGTAGGAAGAGATAGATAATAAAAAATAAATACTAAACAATGTCAGAGTGTGATAAATGGAAACTGGAAAGTTGTGTGACTCAGGTATGAGATTGGATGGTCATTGAAGGCCTGACTGTCAGAGAGAAGGAACAACAAAGGAACAGCCAGTGCAATACCCTGAGGCAGAGTGGAATGAGGCTCGAAGTGGGCAGGGCCAGATCAGAGAGCCTTGTGCGCCATGGTAAGGAGTTTGGATTTACTGTAAGCACAATGGGAAGCCAATGGAGCATTTTAAACAGTCCCAAACCCACTGCTATCGAGTCGGACCCAACTCATAGCAACACCTCCTTGAGTTTCCAAGAAAGTATCACTATGGAAGTAGATTGCCCAACCTTCCTTCTGAGGAGTGGCTGATGGGTTTGAACTGCCAGCCTTCTGGTTAGCCGTCAAATGCCTTAGGCGCTACATCACCAGAGCTCCTGTTTTAAACAGTAGTGAGAAATAATCTAATTATGATTTTTTTCTTTTTTTAAAATCAATAAGATCTTTGGCTGGTATGACATATGTTTTAAAAGTTAGAGGAACCCTGTGATGCAAGTAGGGGTGTAATTATAGTGTAAAGTCTTGGCACACATTAATATATTGGTATGCATCTACCATCAAAGACACATATTTCATTCATTCATTCATTCAGTTATTCATTCAAAGACATTTGTTAAGAATTTGCCAAGGTACAACTTACACCTGTTTTACCTCATTCAACTCATGTAAACACTGAGAGATAGATATCGTTATCTTAATTTTACAGAAAGGGAGAGATGAAATGAATCCCTGAGGTTCCACACCCAGGTCTTCTGTTAGCTTCCCATAGTGGCTACAGTAAGATGAAGAAAATCTGCCTCAAATTGGACTTCATGAACTGCTGCCTTGTGATGGTTTCCTTAATGGCCACGGTTTGGCTTTGCAACATTAGAAATCCAACCCCTCAGTGAGTCACTGGGCCCATAGACTCAGGACCATGGTTGCAGGGAACATCAAGCTCAGTTGGCATAATATACTACACAAAAACATTTTTCTGCATCCTACTTTTGTGAGTAGCAACTGGGGTCTTAAAAGGTTACAAGTGACCCTCCAAGATGCAACAATTGGTCTCTCCTCATCTGGAGCAAAGAAGAGAGTGAAGAAAATCAAAGATGCCTGAAACAATTAGTCCCGCATGTCCCTGAGACCAGGAGACTAGATGATGTCTGGCACCACTGCCAAACCCTCAGAAAGGGATCAGAATTGGAGATCTTGGATAGAGTGGGGGAAAAAATATGGAACGGAACTCAAAATCATAAAATAGACCAGGCTTATTGGTCTGATAGACTCTGGTGAAACCCCAGAGACTATGGCTCCTAGTCACCCTTTGGGCCTAGAATTGAACTCACTCTCATGGTTTAACTTTCAGCCAGACAATAGACAGGCCTACAAGGTGAACACTTATACAGGTATGTATACTCCTTAGAACAGTCAACCATGGGAAATCAATGGGAGATCAGAAGGGCAGCATTTGTGTAGGGAGAAAGCTCAGAGGGCAGGAATGCATAGGAAAGGACACACTGTGACTTCCAGCCAAACAATAGATAGGCATATATAATGTGAACATTTACACCAGGTAGGTACACGCCTTAAAACAATCACCATGAGAGATCAGAAGGGCAGTTGCACAGGAGATAGCTCAGAGGACAAGGATGCATAGGAAAGAAGGACACAGGGAAAACGTAACTATAGGGAGGAAGTGGGAAGAGAGCTGCTGCTTTGCAGGGATTACAATCAATGTCATGAAACAAAATGTGGATGAACTGCTATATGGAAAATGAATTTGCTCTGTAAACTTTCACCCAAATCACAATTAAGTAAATTAATTAAATTAAAAAGAAGGACACAAGGAAAAGGTAAACCCATGGAAGAAGTGAGAAGAGAGTGATTACATTGTGAGTATTGCAATCAATGTCATGAAACAAAATATGTATGAACTGTTGAATGTAAAATGAATTTTCTCTGTAAATTTTCACCCAAATCACACACACAAAAGAATTGTTTTCCAACATTCAAAAAAAAAAAAAAAGAAAGAAAGAAAGAAATGGAACCCCTGGTCAGTCCACTTGTCTCGGGTGACTCCTTGCCAAAAAGCAGTAAGTATTCCAGCAGTTACGGAGCCTTGCTAGCCAGGATGCACACCTTACTGGGATGAGGCCCTAGAGAAAAAGCATTCACTGTCAAAATGTTGCCCAAAACTCAAATAAAACAGGTGGATTGGTCTTGAGGAACTTGGAATCTAGACTGTCCTAGAGCCTGTTGACTGGTCCCCATGTCCCCCGTGTTAAAAGCCCTCTTTTAACAACTGGACAGTTAGAATGTTACGATCTCCTATTTGCCTGCCTTAGATAGTTCTGGAAACACACCACGCCAAATTCTTTTCTTTGTCTTCTTCTCCTTCCCCTTCCTCCTCCTTTTTAGACTCCATAATGTTCATGTTTTCCACTTCGTATTTTCATGGCCATGTTGAATCCTGTCTCTCTCTTTAATCTACACTGATTTGTGACATCTGGGAAACATGTTCATTTGTATTAGTGCTGAACAGGGATTTCAAAAAAAAATGGTATGACTTGGTCTGATGTCCTCCCCTTTTTGTGATCCCTATTTCTTAACTCTTGGATCCCATCTCACCTTAGCATCTGTTACCTTTCACCATCCATGGGCTCATTAATCCCACCAAGCTACCCATATCACCCAGCTACCCTGATGATCAAAGGCAGACTTGGGCAAAGTGGTGGTCACACTTTTATTTATGCAGCAAAATATCTGTTTTCAATTACTATGTGCCAAAGAGATTATTTGTTTTTCACTTCTTATTAAACAAAGAGGTAAGTTGAGTTTTATCAAATGTAATAAATGCTGGGAGAGGGCAACCACATTTTTAGCCACTGAGAATGCAATAATCCAATAAAGTGGTTAAAAATTTTCCTTTTAATCAAATTAGTATATTTAGGCCAATTGTATAGAATATGATGCCTAATGGATTATGACCATTTCTAAGGAGTGAAAATGAAGTCACACGACAACCTGTTTTTCCTTCCTACTTGGTAACCATGTGTATGTTTGGTCATGGGTTTCTTTTTCACCAGAGTGATGTTAGAGCTCCAAAGAGCACCAAACACGTCCATTTGATCCAGTGGAGTAGAATGAAACCTCAGGATGAAGTGAGAGCAGTCCAACTTGCCGTTCAGTTGTTCCCCAACTCAGAGGGCAACCCAGGAAGCAGATCCAACTCAAGTAAGTTACTGTTCAGATATTACATATGTAACAGATTCCACAACCTTCAATATGAAATTCTTAGAGCAAGGATAACTGCCAGTCTCTGGATAGATATAGACTTGTAATATGATACTTCCTTCCTTTATTTTTAGAATATCGGTTTTATATGTCGATTCTTTGGGGAGTAATATTTATGGACTTAAAAGCATGTGCATATTATAAAAAATTCAATATTTGGAGAGCTATAATAAATAATGAAAATTAATTATTACATTGTATTGGTAACAACAACAAAAAAAAGTGTATTTACATATACATATTCCTAGTTTCCAAAAGTGTGACTGTAGATAAAGGTATGAATCACCTTCCATATCCAGCAAACATTCCTATGAAGCCACTGCTATTACTGGGCCAACTTCTTGAGTTCTATAGACAACTAGTGCCTCCCAGCATAAGAATGAAAAGAAAGAAAGAAATGACGGAGGGAGGGATTAATAGTGGAAAAATGAGTTATAAGGGGAGAAAAAAAGGAAGGATGGAGAAAGAAAGTATAAAATGCATACAATCAATAATGGAGATAGTAATTGTAGATGACATAAGGAAACAAGTTAGAGAAAACAAAGAGGAAGGCCCTGTGACTTGCTGCCAAATTGATTTTTATTTGGTGGATTCAGGGAAGGGGTTCTGACCCCTGCTTTCTAAATCCAGAAACTCTAACACAAGCCAGAGTGAGGCTTCGTGGGACTGACACAAGCTAATACTTGGAAGACAGCTAAATACTTGGGAGATGGCTGCATAAACCACCATGCAATTCACTCCTTACCATGAGCAATATATGTGCCAAACAATTTAAAAATAAATAAATGTATTTTCTGATCAATGTACTTTTTCCCAATAGGGAAATCTACCTGGGAAGCCATATCAGAAGTTTCTTTAGTTGGCAGGGAACAAAGAAAGGGCTTTAACTAGCTGACCCTGATGTTGGTGTCATTGAGTTATGAGAGCCTAGGGCATTCATCCTTCACTGTGAGCACCTTTGTGCCAAGCAGACCAAATATTTTTCAAATGTCCGCCAACCAGGGTGCCCAGAATCCCAGAGAGTACTCAAAATCCACTGACAGATTCTTCGAAGGCATGCTGGACCTCCCCTTCTTTGTCAACAGAGTTGATTTGGTTCTTTTCTTTCACAATCAACCATGAGAAGACATTCTGACTGCCATGACTGGACTTTAGTTTTCATCATGCCTTCTAAACCACAACCACAATTTTAAACATATTTTAGGGCATACTATCTCCACAAATGACTAACCCATATTATCCATGTTGGTTCTTACTAGCTTCCCTCTCAGAAAACACTATTTCTAAATCCATTTATTTGCTAATTCAGTAATCTTGTCTTGCGTGTCTAATATAATGGCCTTTAAAGATTTATTACCATAATAACTAATGATTTATAAGATACATTTCACTTTTGTAGGGTTTTCATAGCCATAATCTCAACTGCTCCCTACAGTACCCCTTTGAAATCTATGTCTTTCTGCATTTCGGGTATAATTTTGTCTTTCACTAAAATTTGTTTTTTCTGTATTCCCCAACTCCCCTGACGCAAAATGGCTACAACAACTTCTAGGTTTTACATTGTTCAAATCCTACTATTTCAAGAGTTACCAAATAGACAGTTTATCAGTCCCAATTCCATATTTCTTGGTATTCTTTTTTTCCCCCCCTCAACTCATTCTCCTCTGGATCAATTAACTATAGCAACAGGGTGAAGTGGTGGTAATGGTAGTGTCCCAGGGGTAGGATGGGTGGTAAGAACAGTGTGTCCACATGGCAACTCTTGCTGCAAACAGTGGATGGAGAAGATGTGGTAGAGACATTCCTAACAAAGGACAGTGGGCAGACATCTGGTAGGGGTCTTCTACTTCACTTAAATATAAATCTGTTGTTGTTGTTGCTGTTAGGTGCTGTTGAGTTGGCTCCAACTAACAGACAACCTGTGTACAAAGAATAAAACACTGCTTGGTCCTGTGCCAGCCCCACAATCCTTGCTATACCTGAGCCCATCTTTTAGGAGACAGCAAATTAATAATCTCCTTCTCTGCCAGTGTAGAAAAAAATAGTCAGTACCTTTCTATCTCCCACTGGAATTGCTCTGGATAAACCTTTTCCTTCTGATTATTAATTGGAGAAATTGCAGAGTGAAAGCAGGTATTGACTTCCCTTTGGCTTACTCCAGTTTTAGCTAGTTCCCGTCCCTTCCTTCCTCCTTGTATTCCTTATTCCTCTATGATGTGAGAGGGGTTCTGGTGGTGCAGTGCTTAAGGCATTTGACTGCTAACCACAAGGCTGGCAGTTCAAACCCCACCAGCCACTCCTCGGAAGACAGAGCAATCTACTTCCATAAAAATTTACCATGTCAGAAATCCAATAGGGGTCTCTATGAGTTGGAATCCCCTTGATAGCAGTTGGCTTTTGGTTTTGATTATATGATGTGACGATTAAGAGGACACCACCTAGATCAGTTAAGAAAGATCTTTCAGCTGCAAATAATGGAAAACCCAACTCCAAGTGGCTTACTCTATTGGTTCTCAAACTGTGTTCCTACTCCAGCAGCTTTGGAACCATTTGGAGACTTGTTAGAAATACAGATTTTGGAGCCCAACCTAGACCTACTGAATCAAACTCTAAGGATGGGGACCAGCAATATGCATTTTAATAAGCCCACCAAGTGATTCAGAGGCACTTTAAAATTTGAAAACTACTAGCTTAGACAATAATGAAATGTATTGTCTTCCATACAAGAAATCCAGAAGCAGGGCAGGTTTCAGATGCAGAAAATGAGCCTGCTGAACCATGGGAAGGCTCAGGAATGACCCTTTCCTTCTTTCCACTCTGCCATCCTTATGCCCTCCAGACTAGCTCTTCTTCATGTTCACACTCCTCAGGTAAGGATATGGCAATACCCTGAGGAATTAAGAGGTCAATTCCCTCCCTATTCTCATGTTAAGGAGTGGGGAAGAATTTCCTATAAACCCCCAACAGACTTTCCCTCATGTTGCTTTGGCCAGAATTGAGCAACTTGTCCATTCCTGAACACAGCATCACCTAGTCTAGCCTAGTTATCATCTAGTGTGCCCCTAGCACTAGAATGAGACCAGCTTCTCCTGACACACATAACTACATGATGGGGGCTGAACACCCAAACAAAATTGACTCTCTGTTGTTTTTAAAAAGGGATGGAAGGAACATATGTTGAGGTGGCAAGAAAACTTCAACAGACAAAGGCTCTAAGTAGTGGGTCCTCATATTATACGTGGAAGAAGAGACCAGGAGGAAGGAAGGTAGAGAAACTATGTAAAATCAGAGCAAGCCAAAGGGAGATCAATACTATTTTTCAAAGGCCTGAAGAATCATACCTAGAATCTAGAGAGTTGCCTACTGTATTCTAAAACATCTTGAGGTTCCTTCTCTTTTTTTTCCTTTCCAACTTTTATGATAATTCTGAGGATTGTTTTTCTTCCCATTGTGCTATGGGAAAAAGATCTCATATCCAGTATGTTCTGTAGAGACCATTTTATTAAGCCTTAAATAGGACAAAGAACAAACATAATCATCAGGTTGAGAAAAACTGTCAGCATGTGCACAATACAGAGGCCAGTGGCATCTGCTGAATTTCAGTCATGCAGCTCATTACATATGATAGAAATAAAGCAAATCATCACAAGATCATAATTGGTGGCAGGTCAATCCATTACTGTCTCAGTTGGGACCACAGAAGTGGGAGAAGCACCATGACTGGGATATGTACATAATTGCAAGCTGAAAAAGGTTACAGGAGTGGTTCTGGAGTTTTGATTACCTGGCTATGTGGTGGTCAGAGTATGACTTATGATCCTGTGGCCCTAAGTCATAGTCGCAAGGTGGTTACAAGATAATACCAGGACCCCAACCTTTAACTTATATTAGATAACATCTAACTGATTGGCTGCTTTCAGTACAATGCCTTGCCAAATTCCCTAGTTCATAGTATGACCATCTTTCTGCATGTTAGTTAAAGTACTTCAACCACACTCTACTGAGTTGTAAACTGCCCTTCCCTGAGCTTGTTCCAGACCTGTCTAAGCATAGCCACACTGGTGGCTTAATGGTCAGCAAGCATTAAGGAAGTAACATAAAGAACTCAAATGGCGACTGACTTATGTCAAGACTCAGAATGGAGTTAGGGCTCCCACTGTAGACTGTAGCCTTCCACAAACCAAGTGTTTTAGAATTTAAGCTCTAATATACCATCTCAAACTTCCACTAAATGAAAAAATATATTTTTCTAGTTCCTACTCATTTCTATGTTCCAATACATTGGTGACAGTATCAGAACCTGGCAAAAGTCACAAAGGGAGGAGGTGAATAGGGAAAGGCACTGCCTTCATCAAGTGAATTGTGTCCCCCACCTATCAGCTCCACATGACCACCCTTCCTCTCATAGGTAATCACTGCTGCCTGTCCTCATCACTTCTGTGGCTTGGTCAAACATTACATGATGAATAAGGAAAGAGGAAGAGAATGTATAAGGGAGAAAAACACCAGGGAGAAAGACAGGTGGGAGCCTGCCCAGAAAGAGGAGGTGGCCTTGGAGAGGAGCAGAGAAACCATGTCTCTGAAACAGAATTGAAAAGTTAAGGATGGTAGCCAGGATGAGAAAGCTCAGATTGGGTAGAGAATTTGAGAGAGTCCTAAGCTGTATTTTTTTTTCCAATTATGCATATTTTATAGAAAAGGAAACTAAAGGAAAATAAAGTTATGTTGGCAGTGATACCAAAAGTAACATGGGATTTAGCCATACTTTTGTCAGCATGACTTTAAAACTAAGATGCTGGAATAGTCACTGTATGTGATATTTATTATTTGCACTTTTCCATTACTCATTCCTATAATGAGAATACTTTCTCAGCTAGCTGAAGTGTAGGAAGTATCTGTAATTTTATGAAGGAAGGAGCAAAGAGCAAGCAGGTCAGCTTTGAAGAATGCTACATGTATCTTCTAACTCATTTAAAATTGCCAATCAAATAGCTTTATCCTCAAGTTTCTGAGAAATTCACTAAGCATTTCATAACCTAACTCCTGTGCAAGGTAAATTACTGCCCAGTCATGAGTGGCAAAATTAGACCAAAGGGAAGCTTGCAAAAAACCTACCTGGACAGGCTAGACAGCATCTTCATCTAGTATGCTAAACCTCTTTGCCCAACATACACCAAGATCATCTGCAAGCGTCCTGACTGAGTGTTAACTGATCAGGGAATACAGAAAAGTAACAAAAATGGTTATCAGGTGTCTTAGTAACCTTGTGCTGCCATAACAGAAATAACACAAGTGGGTTTTCCTTTTAAAGAATAGGAATTTATTTTCTCACAGTTCAGGAGGCTAGATGTCTGAATTAAGAGCCTGGCTCTAGGGGGAGCTCCTTGTTGCCCAAGAGTTCCCTGGTTCCTTGGCATCTGTTTTCCCCCTGTATGTGTCTCCATGTCCATTCTGACCATTTTATAACTCAGACATAATTAGGTTTAGGACCCGCCTTATTCTGGTATTACCTCATGAACCTAATGAAAGAAAACCCCTATTTCCAAACAGGGCCAGATACAGGGGTTAACATTTCAGCATATATTTTGGGTGATACAATCCATGACATCTGGTAATTAGGGACCCTTTCAAGGAAGTAGCTCAAGTTTATGGCATTTCACAGACTTCAAGGTGAAGGAAAAAAGCCACTGTGGTTCAATGCAGTGACTTGTGTAGGCAAGTTGCTCACTCAGGTATGTGTCCCACATGCAGAGGCCACTTGCCAACAGAGAGAAATGGCATGCTCTGTTCCTCTCTAGAAGCTCCATCTGTATAACCAGAGCCAGAATGGCTAAGGAAGCTGTGGCAGGGAGAACCCCCAGGGAACTCAAGAAATTTGGTAACACAGTCAAGGCACAGAGGAGGACAGAAGAAAGATGGTAGGCATAAAGGACGTGTTTTTTCATGAGACACAGCTTGCTAAGTGATCCTTGTTCATTTTCTTTTGCCTTAGTGTTTTGCTATGCAGCTTCATTTTCATGCTAAAAAACACTTCTCATTCATGAACATCAGGAATCTCTTCTCTGCAGATATAAACTGTCTTTCCTCCAAACTGTCTCTAGCTGCCTCAACACTAGAATCTGGTTTCCTTTATATGCATTTAGGGTCCTTGAAGGTTTAAAACTGCTGGTTGGCAAAAGCTCTGGGAACATTTTGTTCCCAAAATGCGTTTTGTTTACTAATATGTCCCTGCCACACAAACACATACATGTAAACAGCCATTTCTAGAAGTGACAACATGGCTAAGTGGAAAGAAAATGGGACTTAGATGCGGAAGGTTATTGGATGAATGACCTTGGGTAAGTCACTTGACCTTAAGACAATTAATATTTACCTGATAAAATAATTAGAGTTAAATGAGATAATTCAGTAAAGGCCATGGAACACACAAGCACATAGCACATACTAAGTAAGTGTAAATTTCCTTATTAAAATATATGTGTTTGTGTGTGTATGTGTGTGTGTGTAATGTAAAGGACACTGAAATGACAACAGTAACTCGCAGATGAGAACTGTAGTGTGAAACAATTGGAGCAGAAATAATGAGAATGGTGCCACAATGTGAAGAATGTAATCATTGTCAATGAGCTGTACATCTAAAAATTACTGAATGGATGTATGCTTTGTTGTGTCTGTTTTCTTTCTCCCACACCTACACAATTTCCCATAGAAGTGGTTAAAAGAAAAACAAAACCCAGTATTATCTAGTTCAAGGTCAAACAAAAAGGTCATATATATTATATATTTTATATATATATATATAATATATATATATATATAATATATATATATATATATATATATAATGTGATTAGGTTATATATTTATATATGTATCTATATATGTGTATATATACATATATATATATACACACACACACACACATACATATACATATATATATGAAGATAAAATAATAATTAAGGAAATATTCTTATATCTAGCCTAGAACTTTTACAAATGATAAGGCTTAGAGCATCCCAAACAGCCTTAGAGGATCCTGAGACAAGCTTTTGAATTAGGCTTCCCTGTAATTTAAGAAAGGGAGCTCTGGTGGCCTAGTAGGTAAGGAAGGCACTTGGCTGCTAACCGTGACTATCTGTGGTTCAAACCCACCAGCTGCTCCGGGGGAGGGTAAAGACTTACAGCCTTGAAAACCCAACGGGGATTGCTATGAATTGGAAGCTACTGGATGGCAGTGGGTTTTGTTTTCGTTTTGTTTACAGCATAAAAGAGCCTCTCATTTCCGTTCCTTCTGCAGGTGCTGAGTGCCAGTGGTTAGACATTCTGAGGATGCGCCAGATCGCTTCCAACACTTCCTTACAGCGGTCCCAGAGCAATCCTATCCTGGGGTCTCAATTTTTCCCATACTTTGAAAACCAGGATTCTTATGCTGCTGCTGTGCGGCGCACCCAGCTGCCTAATAAGTATCAGCAGATCACACCTATCAACCAGTCCCGAAGCTCCTCTCCTACTCAGTATGGACTGACCAAAAACTTTTCTTCTCTACATCTCAACTCCAAGGACAGTGGCTTTTCTAGTGTTACAACTGACAGCTCTTCAGAGAGGGGTCGATACTCAGGTAGAAGCAGGGACAAATACGATCGTGGTAGTGTCTCCCTAAATTCTTCACCGAGAGGGAGATACAGTGGGAAAAGCCAGCATTCCACGCCTTCCAGAGAAAGGTACTACAAGGTTTCTCAGTCAGCACTTCATACTCGCCAGTCACCTGACTTTAAACGGAGCCCACAGGAGCACAGGCAACCCAGGACAATACCAGGGATGCCTTTGCGCACTGAGGTAGGAGCCAGTGAAGAAGGGACTAAAGTCGGTGATGGATGGATTCAAGTGGAGTACCGGAAGAAGTCCCACAGGCCCTCTCCAGCCAAGACTAGCAAAGAGCGAGCCAGAGGAAACTACCGCGGACGCAGAACTTTTTGATGAGTGGAAACTAGTTAAATTTTCTAAGCAGAGTTTTTTTCTTTTACTTTTCTTCTTCTTCTTTTATTTTTATTTTATGAGTTTTGATAATATGGTGCCTTCAGATAAAATTAACAAACCAAAAGAAAAAAAGTTTCACTTTTTGGATTTGGGAAATACTTCTACTACGAGGGTATAGCCAAACCACGGCCAAAATTATGGATGTTAAGTTACCTAGCTTTGTTCTCACTTAGGAAGTACCCGGTGATGGTAACTAAACTGGAATATACTCCAAAAACCAAATTCACTGTCATCTAGTTGATTACAACTCAAAGCGACCCCTTTGGGTTTCCAGGCAGTAAATCTTTTGCACAAGTAGATTGCCCCATCTTCCTTCCACAGAGTGGGCTGGTGGGTTTGAACTTCTAACCTTCTAGTCAGCAGACAAATGCCTTAGGCACTGCACCACCAGAGCTAGACTTGAACATAAGTACACATATTTTTCCCCCTGAAAATTAGTGTTTCCAGAGAGGAGCATATGCCATCTCTCCCCTAACCACTGATGTTCTAGTGCACAAAGCCAGGACTATGGTGAGGAAAAGGAGTTACTCATCTCCAATGCAAAATTTAAGATAAATAATATTTTAGTATGATTTTTTTATTTAAAATTTAAAAATTTCTAAATGAAATACCTGCAAAAAAAAATCCATGATGAACAAAAATTAAAATTCTAACTAAACCAGGATGAGTATTTCTGATTTTTCCTTGCCTTTCTCCAATACAGGCTTGGTAAGGTATGCTGAATCTGTCTTAGCAAGTGCTACTGTAACACACATATCATAAATAGGTGGTTTTAAAGATCAGAAATTTATTTTCACACAGTTCAAGAGGCTAGAAGTCCAATTTTAGGGCATGGGCTCTGGAGGAAGATCCTGGTCTCAGCTTCGTAGCCCCTAAGTTCCTTGACTCCTTGGCACTCTTCACATGGCATCTATCTCCCCCCTGGTTTGTGCTTACTTGTCTCTATGTCTTTATGCTATTTTTATTACTCAGAACTCATGCTACACGGATATAGTCTCTTTAATATAACATTAGATCACATTATGAAAGATGATTACATTACATTACATTTCATGACATCCACAGGTATAGGGATTAGGATTCCAACATGTATTTGGAGGACATAATTCAATCCACAACACTGTCCCTGTCTTTATTTAAAATTTTGGCATTTTGCTCATTATGGATTTTTTTTTCCTGCATTATTCCTTATTTTTTAAATATTGCAATAAAATATTATTTATCATGATTACTGAGTTTTCAGTACCCCTTAAATGTTGTACCCAGGGTGAATGCCTCACTTGCCTCACCCTGGTCTTGGCACCTCTGGTTAGTATTTATTTTAGCATGATATCTGTGACTTTATTATGGTCAGAGCTGAACTGGTTTGGCATGTCATTTTTTGGCAATAATAAAGGTTATTGAACTTGTTGTTGATTGTGTTGTGTATCTCATTCGTTAAAATCAGAAACCGAAGATCTATTGCCTAGGAGATGTGTGGTTGTTTCTTTCCCTAAGTAAGCACCCAGGGACTGCTTTGGAACATTGTTTTCTACATTTTACCAACAGAGGAGCAGAGAGAGAAAAACCACCATCCATAAAGGGCTCTTGGGATGTCAGAAATCTAAAATCTAAAAGAAAGTAGACGGAGAGCAGGTTAATAATGTCACAAGTCAGAGAAATTTAAAATTACCAACATCCTTGTTACAGCAAGACAGTAAATACCAGCCTTGCAGCAAGAAAGCTGTAAGTAGCTGGGAGTAAAGAGGTGAAACAGTGGGGGTAGGAGGAAACTGCCTACAGGATAGTTAGTACAGGGCTTGTGGAATTCAACTTGTGAAATACTTAATGTTTTACAAATCAAAAAGTCAGGTAGCAATAAACTTACTCTATATCAAATAAACAAGTGATACCTCTAACATATTCTGAAATTCTGTGCAGCTTTCACTAGCCCTGAACATCCAGTGTCCTTTGCCCTTCATCGGGTTCTCAAGCTCTACAGCAATCCAAATGACACACTGGTAATTCTGTGAGGCTGAGTTCACTTTTAATAGAAGCCAGTCATCAGAGTACGTGCATGTGTTCCCAGAGTAGTGCTCTGCCCAGTGCCTGGGGCCTAGAGGGAAAGACTGTATTACAGGCTGGATGATACACTGTAAAACAAAGCATTAAAGTCAAGGTTATAGAAAATGGCTTTGATTTACATAGGAAGCTGTCATGACCTAAACATCAATTTCACAACTTGATTTTATCCAAGTCTTTTTTTTTTTTTTGCTATCTGCATTTATAAGCAGGAGCAATGAAATCAGCAGTCTACTCTTTGGTTATTGGTAATCAACTTTTCCTAAGGTTTGAAGCTCCACTGTGATCCTTTTTCATAGTGCCTAAGGCACTTGACTGATAACCAGAAGGCTGACAGTTCAAACCCATCAGCCACTCCTCGGAAGGAAGGTTGAGCGATCTACTTCCGTAGAGATACCACCTCAGAAACCCAAGGAGGGGTCGCTATGAGTCAAATCCACTCGACAGCAGTGAGGGTTTTTTTTGTTTGTTTGTTTTATATCAACTGTAGGCTGTTTTCCATTATTTTTCTCATATCCTTCTTTTATGCTTTAGTTGAAGGAAAAGTGAGCTAATGCAAAGTAATAGTAATCCTAATAGCATGTTGCTTCCAAGTAAGCAATAAAATATGTTCTTTGATTAGAATTTTTGGATAAGAAGCTGAACACAGAAGTGAAGAATAGTGCAAGTATTGCCTAGGTTATTTTTTCCCCCCTATCAAAATAAATCAGTTGCCAACAATAAGGGAACTATGTTAGTTGAAATTAGAAAAGGATATTTTAGGAGAACAAAATCATAGTAGGAGCAAATCGAGAGAGTATTTTTGGATTGGGGGTCTCTAAATGTGGGGATTTGGTGGTCTGTGAGGCCTGTCTGAGCAATGGTGGTTTGGTGGTAGAGTTCCCACCTTCCGTATGGGAGACCCAGGGTGAGTTCTGGCCAGTGTCCTTCATGAGCACCCACCACTCATCTGCCAGTGGAGGCTTGGGTATTGCTATGACACTAAACAGGTTTCGGCAGAGCTTCCAGACTAAGACAAACTAGCAACAAAGATCTGCCTTCAAAAACCAGCCAATGAAAACCTTAAGGATCTTTGAGCCTGGAATTGAACTCACTTCTGTGGCTCAACTCCAGCCAAACAATAGACAGCCCTGTGAGGTAAACAACTACACCAGGTAGGTACACTCCTTACAACAATCAACCATGAGAGATCAGAAGGGCAACTTTTGCACAGGGAGATAGCTCAGAAGACAGGCATGCATAGGAAAGAAGGACGCAGGGAAAGGGTAACCACAGGAAGGAAGTGGGAAGAGCGATGGTACATTGTGGGGATTGCAACCAATGTCCTGAAACAAAATGTGTATCAACTGTTGAATAGAAAACAAATTTGCTCTGTGAACTTTCCCCGAAATCACAATAAAGAAATAAAAGACGGATCACAATTGTCCAGTCTGCAACCAATCATGCTAATAGCGCAGAACTAGGCAACATTTAGTTCTGTTCATTGTGCATGGGGTTGCCATGAATTAGGGGCCAACTCGAGGGCAGCTAATAACGAGAAGTAGGCTTCTGATCTAATCCCAAACTGCTAAATACAGCTTGGCTGCCACTACAGAACCCCCCCCCCCCGCCACACACACACACACACACACACACACAAAACCTAATCCATTGCTGTCAAGTTAATTCTGACTCACAGTGACTCTACAGGACAGAGTAGAACTGCCTCATAGGGTTTCCAAGGCTGAAATGGAAGCAGACTACCACATATTTCTCCTACAGAGCGGCTGGTGGGTTTGAATTATAGACCTTTGGTTAGCAACTAAGCACTTAACCACATGTCACCAGGGCTCCTTGCTACTAGAGAGGCAGTCGTTATCCTAGGCACAGCCCCTACAAAGCAGGACGTTTTGCTCTATGCACAAAATCTTACTGGATTAGCAATACAACAGACCTAGCCTGAATAATCCAACAGTCCCCAATATGCAAAGGAGAACTGGAGATTATTTTCAAGAACTACTTTAGAAATAAATGTAAACTATCAATTGTGCCAACTAATTCATAATGACTGTGGTCCATGAAAATAATAAAAATTAAATTGCAATGTCTAAAACTGCTCACTGTAAAATTTAGAACAAGAAATCTGACCTGACAAAGTTGAATTAAGAAACAATGGCCACACAACAAACAGGTGAGGAAATGCTCATGGTCATTAGCCATTAGAGAGATGCAAATCAAAACAACAATGAGATATCACCTCACCCCAGCAACAATAGCGAAGTTCAACAAGACAGAAAACAACACAAATGCTGGTGAGATTGTGGAGAGATTGGAACTTTCATACACTGCTGGTGGGACTGCAAAATGGTACAACCACTGTGGAAAATGGTATGGTGCTTCCTGAAAAAAACTGAAAATAGACATACCATTTGATCCAGCAATTCTGTTACTAGGAATATATTCTAACGAGGTAAGAGACAGACACCAACAGACATATGCACACCCATGTTCATCACAGCACAATTCACTATAGCAAAGAGATGGAAACAACCTAAATGCCCATCAACAGATGAATGGATAACCAAATTATGGTACATTCACACAATGGGATACTGTGCTACATTAAAGAATAATGAAGAACACATGAATCATCTCACAATGTGGATGAGTTTGGAGGACATTACGCTGAGTGAAAAATACTGTATGAGCCCATTATTGTAAAAAGGTAAGAAGGAATGTCATGAGACAAAGTATATGTGAACTGCTGTATGGAAAATGTATTTGCTCTGTAAATTTTCACCCAAATCACAATAAAAAAAAAAAAAGTTAAGGAAGGATTTACTTAGGGAAGGGAACTCACTTTGTAGGTTACTGGGGATGGCAAGGAAGGAGAGGGAAATTTTCAGACTAGTTGGGGATCACATGTTGATT